ACTGATGTCGTATTTTTAATTACCTTGATCCAAAACCTCAAATAATACTTTCGTCCACAAATGCTTTGGCAACAGTTGAACAGAGCGGGTGATAGGAAGGTAGGGTGCTTTCAAAAAAAGATAAATCCGTGACAATAAGCAAGCGCAAAATCGTAAAAATAGTTGGAGCAGCTTCACATTAAAAATGACGAATTTTTACTAGTACAAGAACAAAATGTAATCCAAGTGAACTGACTTCAAACTCGGAAGATGCCTGAGGATGACATCCATTGCTTGAACAGACTCGAACGGCACTTGACGTATTCGACCTTCCATTGCGTCTTCGAGTGTTGACAAAGAAACCGTGGAAACCCATTTGATGGTGACAATGAACTGTCGCTCAACTGCCGAATCACCCGGTAAGGTCACTTCCAATTCGACTCGGTCTCGTCCGATCGGTAGCAAATCACGAGTGTACATATTCCTTTTACCATCGTACACTGGATTGATGTTGTTGAAGATCTTTTGATATGCGCGTATCATCGTATTCACGATTTCACTGAAATCATCTCATCGATACTTTCTTTGCTTTGACAATAAACATATAAATACGTAAATTTAAAATTTCACACAAACTCAATGCATCCAAGGTAAGGAATCAACATTAATGTATCCGAATAAGCAAGCAAGCAAGCTGTATCAAGCTTGACAATTTCATTAAACTACGTGATGGATTCTGACCCAGAGAAAAACTGAGGCACAAATAGTTCCAGGCGACCTTCGCAAGGACTATCCAAAATTTCTGACTCTATCTAAAGAAACTCTCAGAACGAACCGATTCACTCTTCGTGGGCACTTATCCGGTTGCACATCCACTGAGTAGTGCTGTATGTTGCCACCCGGTATTCTTACGGCGAAATGATTCGCTCTCAACACTATCGAACGACCTTCAATGCCATGATTTGGTCGACGTGGACACTGGAAAGTCACTCCGCCAGCTCCTGAAATTGCTTCCGTAAATCGACTATTCTCCTCGAATTCCACCATATTCTCAAAAAATTTTTGAAAACGTTTATACGACAAANGTTGAAATGTTCGTATTGAAGCGAACAAAATTTCAGTTACCTGGTGCTGGTGGTCCTCCGCTTGGAGGAGGAATATTGGCGGATGTTGGCTGCAGAGCCCCAGCTCCTTCGCCGCCTCCAATCGGGCCTCCTGGAGCCAGCGATCCGGGTGGGCGACTCTCGAACGGTGGCCCTCCCCCAGCACCTCCTCCGCCTCCACCCATCACTAGTGGCCCGTGTCCGCCGTGTGGTCCTAACGGAGGCAGTTGAAAAACATCCTGCAATTCACACACAAATTAACATCACTCAAACAATCAAACTCATCCCAAATTCACTACCAACAACCAGATGCCCTTCAAATTATACCACAAACACCCACCTGAAGTGGTCCTTGTGATGGAAATTGCGAGCCACCACCTAGAGGAAACTGTTGTGGACCCGACTGTTGCGAGACACCAAGTTGTGGTCCACCAAGAATACCGCTTAACGGCATTTGGAATGCACCGCCCGGGGGCATAACACCCCCGCCGCTCGATTGCTGACCATCATTGAAACTGAACGCTTCTGAAAATGCCAAATCACAATCATTCAAGCTCACCGAAACCATAAACATCGCAATTTCTCTGATAATCTAAGCAACAGCATAACCAAAATTCATATTCCTCCAAAACAAAATGCTGCAACCATAACAACGATAATATTAAAAATAATAATAATAATAATAATAATANTAATAATAATAATAATAATAATAATAGTAATAACAATAACAATAATAATAATAAACACTCTTACTCACTCAACACAAAGAGACTCAGTACCAAACAAATACAACTGATGGTGAATTAAAATATCTAAATAAGTGTCTCACGTTAACAATGATGACAGTCACTAACCAAGCATGCTCATAACAGCTTGCTGTTGTTGTTGTTGATCAATAGCTGCCATATTCATAGATTATATACTGGCAATACAGATGCTTGAGATTACCGATCGATTGATAAGTGTATGATGAGAAATGATTAATTTGAAATGTATTAATGAATGAAAGCTTTCGATTGAATTAAGCAGCGATGACGATAAGTGCGCTGGTCGATTAATCAGTCACACAATACTATAATACCTGAAAACAATATCATTTAGTTTATCTCATCACACATCCCGGAAACAATCCTCCACATAATCACTCTTTAATTGATCAAATAAAATGCCACAACTTAAAATCCAATTCACCATTTCAAAAGCGTGACTAATAACGAGTGAAGGTTTTGTGCATAATGTCCTTTGGGAACTAATATTTTGTGGTTTAGATATCCTGAAGCCTAATCTTTAATACTTCCGATGTTTATTTTATTTTTTATTCAATCTGCAAATCCAACTCACTAAAAGTTTACGCCACTCTGTCATTATCAATATCACTAAATCACTAATATCACATTCTTCCTTCCTTGGCATTCTTCTTTCCTCGCAGCTAACAATGTTCATTTTAATCTGCTAATTAATGCACAAACTACTAAGTGCTTAATGATCGACAAATTCTGTACGAACTCAACCTACATTTCCACAACATCCTACGCCCATTTTTTTCACTACCAACAATCTGATAAAACTTGTAATTAATTGCTGCTCATTTAAAATACATATCAAATTGCGAGTATAAGTGATCATTTTGCAGTGTTTAATCATCCAACGATATTGTCATTAATTACTTTGCACATAAAATTGTCTGAAGA